TCAATCTGGCTACAGGAGCAGGTACTTGCTTCAGGTCTCAAACTTCATTGAGGGGAGAGGGCTGCTGTTTTCTAAGATCCAACCCAGACCCCAACATCAGGATTAGTCATCTAAATTTCTGACACTCTTCCACCTAAACAGTTAAGCTATGAAGGAACTGTCAATAAGTACTTATCACAACAGAAACAAAATTATACTATGAAAGCACCCATGAGTTACAAGCCACAACATATAAAATCTTAGACCTTCTTTTGAGTGACTAATCTACACTAACTGCATTCTTTACATGCCACACATCGTTGGGCTGCTGTGAAACATACATGTGTTCTTTTGCAATATATGTTTCATTTTTAAAAGCTCAGGGCTTAAAATTAATACTGCATGCGAACAACTGAACATTTTTAAATATCTTGGTTAGAATCAACAACATGGTACTTTCATTTTCATTTCCTTGACTACCAAACAGGAAATCTCCTCAATTTCTTTTCTAAGAAGAAAAAAAAAAAACAAAACAGGGGAGGTCATAATCTGAGGACACAGCAAGTTCTGTCAGGTATTTTTCAACACAGTGGGAGAATAGCGAGGTTTTAATTGGTTTTATTGAGCTCAACTGCAAGCTACAACATTCTTTACCTCAACAGTGTGGCATTCAAAAAGCGAGTGTGGGGGGACACCAAAGTCAGTTTCCAACTTTGAAAACATCAAATGATTCATGTCCAGTTTCATCTTGTTAACTGAAATCTCCAAAAAAGTAAAAGTGCACACATCAACCCTAATAAGATGGATAAAAAATTTTAAAATGACATTGATAAAAGAAAAGTAAAATGGATCCTAGAAAATGCCCTACCCCCAGTTCAGTTTATGGAGTTAGTTATAAGATAAAGAACTGGCTTCTGGTTTATTGGTATTGTCCTCTTGTCTTATCTACTGTTTCAAACCACTTTCGCTAGACGGTTCAAGGTCAGAAATTTACCATATGTGATCCTGTTCAGAACCAATTGAAAAGGACATACTCTAAAAATTCTTACCAGTTTGAAGTTAGGTACACTGGCAGATAAGAACTCTGAAAAAATTAAAAGTAATAAAATATAAGAAAAACATGAGAGGGTATAAAATGCTCCTTTTAAAAATAGTGCCAAAACAGGAAGGGCTGAGAAGATAGCTGTGGTTTTAGTAGGTCTCCTTTAGGCAGCTGCACTACTATTGTCCTCTGCTTTAACTTCACCAAAAACCTAAAACAAAAAAAAAAAAAAAACAGCTAACAAAATCCAAGTGGGATGAAATCTTCCTGGATGTGTACAAGGTACATTCATTTGGGCCTACAGTAGCTGCCTTAGCTATAACTGCACCCACTAAAGCACTGAATAGCAAGCAGCTGTGCAAGTTCTGTGTACAGATGTTTTCTTTTCCTTATCCTGAATTTCATTAAGTAGATGCTGCTCTTCAGCGGAGCATGAAGAACGTGAAAAATGGGGAGAAAAGCCATGGAGTCCTCATTTGAAATCAGAAGAGATCTTAAAGCTTGAACTGCTTTAACTTACTTTCTTTTTGTGAGGAGAAGGGGTGCGTAACTAGGAACTGAGCTCATGGCCTTCAGGCTGAGCTACATCCCAGCCCCTTTTGTTTTGTGTTCTCTCTCTCTCTGAAACAGGATTACTGTAAATCACTGTTTCCTAGACTGGGGTTGAACTCGCATTCTCCTGTCTCAGCAGAACAGGACAGCAACTGGACCCTGAGCACACAATTTACTTTCCCATTCAAGCTCCATCTTGCAAAAAGCTTTTCATGCAAATTTATGGGAAGTCTACCATGCAGGTCCAATACCTAGCCTGAGGACTAGGAATGCACATATCAGTAATTCATTGACCACTGGGAGGAAAAATACCCAAGGCAATTGCCTATGAGATCCCTGGAATGGGTTCAGGGCCATTTGGACAGGGAATTTTGGGAGTCCACATACCATAGTGTGGTTTAGAAGTAGAGGCACAAGCTCTGGGCAGTCTGGTGGCTCTAGGGCTCATTGCTCCATAAAGAGTGTCAAAGCTTTAGGACCAAGAGGTCTGCTGGAGTGGAGACCCAGGGTAGTGTCCATGGCTGTGTGAACCTAAAGGTGCTACTGACTTCCAGATATAGGAAAGATTATTGGTAGCAGACTATCATCATGTCTACCCCTATCAGAATGTTCTATGTGGCTGCAAATGAACTAGAGGCCAAATGAAATGTCTAGAATAGCTGCAGAACAACCTTTAAATTTCCCTGAGTTATTTTTTAATGGAGGTGATTTTAAAAGACAAAAATTAGTTTCTAACTGAAATTATCATGATATTTAAAGCAATTTACCTTTGCCCAGAAACTACATAAAGTTTTAAACTTTACAAAGTTTCATATTTAATTTTTAAAAACTAACCCATCTCACATGTTTAAAATTTTTAAAAAATACTTTCAGCAATCCTTTTTATTAGTTGGGTGCAAAAATTTACCTCCAAAATTTTAAAGGAAATATTCCTCTGTCATTCAATATGTTATCCAAACCTCTTTAAAATAAGTTACACGAGGATATAATGTTTGGTTTAAAAAGTTTTTACTATATGACCCACATCAAGATAAATGTCTTTTTTAAGAAAAAAATCCATGGTATAAGCTTTGAGCCTTAATTCCAGGGGAAGAGAGAGAGACAAAGAGGAAATGAGAAGAGGAAAAAGATTATTTCCCAAATGATATATGTTCAGCAACTAAAAATAAGGGCAAATGATGAAGCATAAATGAACTACAATGATTTTCATCTTTTACAAATTTGTCAACAATAGATGAGTTTTCAAACTGGTCCTAAGTATAATAATCTCAACTTCAGTGCCATAGTCTTTAAAAAATTGTTCTCATTCAGAGAAAGAGTAAGTTAGGCCAAATCACCAAGGAACACTGCAAATGTTAAATGTAAGCATCTCTTTGTGGGCAAAACAAAAGGTTAAAAAGGTAACCAGGCTTTCTGAAAAGCTATGGTGTGAGGTTTTGTTGTTGAAAATTCTTATCAAATGTAAATATCTTGAAGGTAATCCATGCTGATCAGAGCTGTTCCTTTATGTCCAGTCCATCTATCTGACCTTCCTTTTGGTCTTAAACTGTGGGTCAGTTTTCTCTCCCTTTGAATGTGGTGCCACACAGTGCAGTTAACTTCCCAAAGACGTTCACTTATTGCTTTGCCTCAGAAATTGAGCAAAATTGTAAAAAGCTTGAGAAGTTTAAACAGATGCATCTTCTTGAAGATTTGTCCTAGTTTTGTTTTAAAAACTGATCTTGACTAAAATAGTACCAGTGGACTAGTAGTAGGCCTAAGAAACCTTCCTGGTTCATTGTTTAATGCGCTTTAACAGTAAGCATCATTCCTAGGTCAGAATCACCACTTATATGTGAAAACCCTATATTTTCAAAAATATAGTAATTGATACCTTATCCTTTAGTTTTGCTAGCTAGACCTGCATTTCTATGTTCTATATACCACTGAAATTTTCTGAAAACAACTCACCATTAACATCTCAAAGGTTTTGCCATCATTTGCTTAAATTACAACATTTTGGTTTTAATTGAAGTGCCCCCTCATGACCTTAAGGGAATAGTTTATTGTTTTATATATGTAACTGAAATTAAAGTGGACATATTGTCTAAAGCACCCTATTTCATGGGCAAGAGTAAGGAGACATGAACCAATATTTAGAGTGAAACAGTACCTAAAGAAAACTTTAAGTGTCAAACACTCTATATGTGTATCATCTCATATAATTTGCACTGGAATGCCATAAAGTAAGCATTTGAATTATTATGCCTGATTTTAAATGTGGCGGTAGGCTAGGAGATTTAAGTACACATAATAAGTGGTAACAAGAGGATTTGTACACACAACTTTCTAGCTCCAAAATCCTTGTGATTCTTTCTACCGGATGGCTTTGGTAGTTTCCTTTAACATTTTTGCTTGTCCTTTGATATTTTAAAAAGAACACAAAGCAAGAGGCTGTCAACTTTATTTTTGGTGCTGCCCAGCTTTATCTTTGTATATGAATGATTAACTTTCTTTGGTAACTGGCGGGCAAGCCAGTGTTGAGACTCCCTATTTTTTTTCACTGCTGCAGAAAGCTGATAATAGAAGCTGCTCCTCCTGAACCACACACATGCGCATACATGCTCACATGCACTCATTTTTTTAAAGCATAGAATTATATGGATTTAAACTTCATGCCGAGTTCAGAGAATGAATGCCCATGGTTTCAATATCAAAAACTGAACTCATAATCTGACATTTATCCCAACACAACTAATGAAATAAAGAAAACACAAAGCTCCACGTTTAATGGCATCTGAAAATCTTTCCTAAGAGCCCTATGGCAGCCTTGATCAATTATATCATGTAAAATTGCAGAATGGGTCACTGCAAACTGGAATGTTGGACACTGCGCAACAAAGCTTAGTACTTTGTTGAAAACTACTAAAAATTGGCGCTACCCCATTACCCATGTTATAATACAGCTACATCATCTCTTAAGTTCAACAAATCTTGTAAATAAGGATCCAGGAGGTGTACCCTCTAGTATTAGCTATTTATTTGCAAATTTTACTTCTCAGTGGCCAAGTGAAATGTCAGGTTTAGCATAAATTTTTATGCCTCAAAACACCTCAGTTTATGCTTTGACTTTCTTTTAAAAATTCAAAATGTTAAGTGCTCCAATATGCATGCCAAATTGGTTAAAATATACAATATTTGTAACTTCCCAAATATTTTGAACTGGTGATTTTTTTTGAGGACTGTGATTTTTTTGGTACTGAATCAAAAATAAAACTTGCAAGTTAAGTCTCATCAATAGCTAAGCCCTCCAAATTACATGTTTGCAGAGATGAATATCTACCTTAAATACCAAAGAGAAAAGTAAAATTTTTTTTGCTGAAAAGTATCTTTTTATTTAATGCCTAAGCCATTCACTGGCAGATTAAAGCAACAAACACTTGCTCAGTTTAGTTAACACATTTGATTTTTTTTATTTTTAGAATATAATCTACATCTGGATTAAAAAAGTTTTAAATAAATTTAAGACATAACAACGGTGGAACCCTTCATCATTCTACGTACAGCACAGATAGAATGTCAGCTGGTTCCATTTGGGATGAATCCACTTTCTCATAATAACATTATTATTTTTCACTGACTGAGTGGCAAGCTTCGTACAAGTTTCATACGAGCTGGCGCACTTCCAGCTCACACACACGGGAGTGGGGGCAGGGTGGTGTGAAAGGGATGGGGTGGGGTGCCACAGGATTGCTGTACAGTGTAACAGAAAATCATTAATAAAGTAGTACCGGTTAACAACAGTGCTATTTGTGCGCTTATCACAATGGAATCGCTGAAGTTTCGGAGCAAGAAGAGAATTTGAAATACTTAAGACAGGGCCACTGTTACAAAAAGACATAGTGCAAACAGGAAAACTGACGCAATCCTAGCAACGCCAGGGCCTCAGCCGGCTCAACAGCAGGGCGGGCAAGAGGTTGCGCGCCCCGCCTTCCCCAGCACCCGGCTCTGGGCTGTGCTCCCAAGTGTGGCAACCCAGCGCCGCGCCCTGGCATGGCCCCTTCTCAGGTCCTTTGCCTCCAGAAATAAGAAGAGAAAAAGAAACCCCAAGAAAGGCACAGGCTGAATGTGGGGCGTCAGCTCAGTCCCATTTCCAACAATACAAATAGTCCCATTGTGGGGGGATCCTCGAGCCCCCCTCTCCCAAGAGTTTTCTCTTCTTGAGAATGAGGCCCTCTCCTCCACACATACCCTCTGAGCCCCTGCAGGTACATAGCCCAAATTTGCAATCAATGTGCCCCTCGCGCCCCACAACCAGGAAGAAAATAGCTTTGAGGAAAGAGAGAGGGTGAGAGGCAGCCATGAGACGGTGCTGGGCAGCCACGGGCGCCCCGCCTCAGTGGCCCCAGTTGCCGAAGCCGATCTCCTGCTTGTATCTATTGGTAAGAATGTTGGCTTTGCGGGTGAGTTTGGAGAGCACAGTGTGCAGCCCGCGCAGGTGGTAGTGGAACTGCTGCTCCAGGTCTTCCTCACCGGCATCCGCGCTCTCCAAGTGGCTCAGGTCCACCAGGATGTCCTTGGACTTCCACGCGTTCTCCTCGCTCCCTGCTGCCGGGGAAGGCGGCTGGTGCAGGACACCCCACTCGATGTCGTTGCGAATGGACTTGAGCAGCACGTAGTGGCTGTACATGTCCCGGGAGGGCGCGAAAAAGCTGCTGTTGGCGCTGCCCGGGCTGGAAGCCTGAGGCGTGCGCTCCTCCAAGCAGCTGCCGCTGCCGCTTACCTCCACACCGACTTCGTTGTCTAGCTCAGGCTCAGCTAGGGGCACGTCGCGCAGCAGGCTGGGCACCATCACCGTCTGGTCCATGTTGTTCACGGCTCCAATGAAGCGATTCATGGCGTTAAAGAGCGAGTGCTTCTGGTTATAGGTGTCGCAGATTTGCATCATGATGGCCGCGGGGGCGCCAAAGCTCAGAGACACAGGGGCACAAAGATGGTCTGCCCGGGCTTGGGGGTGCCCGCCTTCACGCGCTCTCCGAGGCAAGGCCTGCACCGGAGCCTGGCTATAGCCGGTGAGGGGGGGATTCCTGACTCCTCCTACACCCTCTCCAACTCTGCTTTCTCTGGCAGCCCAGCCCTGGTGAGCGGCTTCTCTAGTTTGGATGTCTGGAAGATCGTGATGGTGGTGGGTCGAGCCTCGGCCTGGTTAGGAGACAGGAGCGAAGGAGTACGTTACTCACCCGGTTAGGTTGCCCAGCGCCCTTGCCCACATGCTCCCTCCCTCCCTGGCTACTGCTAGCTTGGGATGGAGTCGGGGTGGCTCCCTGGGACCAGGCTGTCCTACCTCTGCGCCTCCCAGAAGAGGGCCACCGAGTAAAAGAGGATCTTTTCCCTCGGAAAAGCCTGAGTACAATCAACCACTCTGGCTAAGGCGGCAGTGGGGCGGGGCACCCACCTCTTTCGTCTCGAGATCCCCTGATTCTTGGCGGTTCAGTGTTTTCTCTGCCAGTGGAAGCCGCCCAAGGGCGCTGCGGTAGTCAGTGGCCGGACTGTGACTGAGGGCGCCGGTGTCTGCGTTGGCTCTCTACCCATCCCAGGTGCTCAATTTATAGTCCAGGAAATGTGTCGCCGGTGCCTAGAGCCACCCCCGGTGTCTCCTCCTCCAGCCACCCCCAGCAGCGCCTAGATAAAAGGGCCCAGCCCGGAGGGCCGCGAGTAACACTGGCCCGGCCCCTTCTACAGCTGGGGCGGGGCACGCCAGACCAGCTCCGCCTCTCGCCTGATACCCGGGCTAAGGGAGGGCGCTGGGGCAGGGCAGGGCAAGACATGGGAAGGGCAGAGAGGGATGGAGTAGCCGCGCCCAGCCCGCGCCAAGCCAAGGCCAGCCGGCTTGGGGAGGGCCAGGCACCGTGCCGGTTCGGAAGGCGCCGGCGACCCAACCCAAAAGAGGGCGGGCTGGCGCGCGAATGGGTAGGCTGATTTGGAGTGCGCTCCCGGGTTGGGATGACCAGAATGCACGTGTCCGTGTTACAAAGTGAACCTCTCCACCTTGAATCCAGAGAGACCGCAGAAGGGAAACTGAAGCCTCGGTTTATTATTAGCCCTCGGGGGAGAAAGGACCGCATCTGTCTCATCTCCATCCTGGGACTTATGTAAGCTGGACATGCTAGCTACACGTGGACGCGCAGTGCTCCCACTGTGGCCCTGCATTTGGTCAGCAGCTTGGGGAAGGGAGGTCAGAGGCGTTTGCCTTCCTCCAGGTGATTCCTTTCCCAATTTTCCTACAATTGCTGCCAGGAGTCAAGGGCGACCTATCATGAGATTTACCGGTTTTGTTTTTTTTTTTTTTTTTTTTTCTTTAAGAGATCAGAACGTGGCAATGGAGAGAAATTATGTCGGGAAGCCCAGCCAGGCCCTGTGACCATTTGTCAAAAGGCTAGGAAAGGGTGACAGTACTCCGATGTTTGGTGTCTTTCGTCGTTTAACAGGAAAGATAGGTTTTTAAGCACAGGATCATTGATATAATCTAAGCTAGGCACCAAATCGCGGGACGCAACTTTTTAAGACTTGCACTTTAAATTTCATATTGAGATTTCCACACTATGGCCTGTTTTAGTTTTCCCATCTCACTTACCTTGCCATGTTTCTCATCCACCAATCTTCTCAAACAGTTCTACAGACAATTATGACTCAAGCTTCTAATTTTAAATCCCTTTCCTCTAAAATATTAGGGACAGGGGTTAGTACTGTATTTTCCTGAACAAAAGTGTCAGAAACCAGAAGTATATAACATCTGGGTTTCTCTTTCACTTTGACGACCCATATACTTAAAGGAGCTATATTCAAATATTTTCCAGGACAGGCTATCTTCTTAATTGTATTTTGAATGAAAGTCAGACTAGGACCAACAAGGACTAACAATAGAACAAAAATCAATTATGACCATTGAGGCCCATTCTGCACCCCCCAATTTATTAACTGTAGATCATAACCCTTGTCTTCTTATCTGTAAAGCTGAGGTAATGTTAGTTGCTCAACCTATTTTGAGTGATCAGCGCTAAGAATGTAGAGGAAGAAGCTTTATATAAATTTGAGGTATTAAAATAATTCCACTTCTCCCTTTTGAATTGAGACTTAGCAGCTTTTCCAGCCCATTTCCTTATCAATAAAATGGAGCTTCTCTGGTGGATTGTGCGAATTTTGGTAAAGGTTAAATTAGATAATGAATGCAAAAATAAATATGTAAATTGTAAAGTACTTTACAAGGAATAATTTACTTAGTATAGAACCTCATAGTCTAGAGGTGTCTGTGAGGAAACAAAAACCTTAAAAATGTGGAGAGACAGGATGAGTCACAGACAATCCCCCCACACGCGGTGCCTAGGAAGTAGGAGTATAAAATAGTCCAAGTTGGTTTTGCCCAAGGAGATCGAAAGAGCATTCACGACAGGAGGAAAACTCAAAGAAAGCAAATGTGCAGTTTCCGTACTTGATCACAAATTAAAATACTTTGTCCCATTCCTGACTTACTTAGTGTTTCAAGGTACACATAAGTCCTGATGAAAACTCGGTATTCAGATTTGAGCTATTAAATGCTGGGATTCTGCCTCCGTTTCTACCCAGTTCCAACAGAGAGAGATCTAAGTGATCTGGAAAAGGGAGCCCACTGTGACAAAAAGCCCAGCTTGGGAGAAAGCCCCCAAACTCCCTCTCTTTTAGTCTCCACCCCTCCCCTGATCCATTTCCTTCCTTCTGTCTGGACTGGATCTCCCAGTTTCTTGACTCGGCCTCTGTTCTTGCTCATTTCTTAAACCCTATCAAAGAAAGATGGCTCATCCACCTGCCGGCAAAACTTCCCAAACCAGGCCTCCCAGCTCCCTCGGCCCACGCAACAACTCACACCCACGGGGTAACTCCAGAGCAAAAAAGGTCCAAGGGCTAAAGCTCCCAGCCCTTGGAATCACCCCATTGCCACCCCTCTGACTTTAGCCAATCGCAAACCGTCGCAGAATGTTATGCAAATTACCCTTTGCCCCTCAGCCAGTCAGAAGCCGCGGACCCCTCCCCGCAGCATCCTCTTTCACCCTAGCCCAGCCGATCCGCGGCCGCGTCCCAGGCAACCGGCCAGCAGCCAGTATTTCTTCTTGCTAGGCTGTAAAAAAATAAAAACGGTTCCCTGGGGTTACAAACGAGCAGAGCTGCTGGGTCAGGCCAGGAAGGAGATGGTCAGTCTCTCTGGTTGCTCAGGGCACCTTCCTTATCATGATCTGGAGCAGGCTGGAGGTGCTTAACTGTCTGCCCAGAACTCATTTTGCTCCAGAAAGCAGGGGAAGGCATCAGTTGAGCAAGTTACTTTGGAGTACTTGTAGCAGGCCAAAAGAGGCGAGTCAAGAGACTTTCTAACCAATATACCAATTCCCATTAAAAGCTTTGTTTCAGCTTGTGTACCCGCTCTACTTCTTTCACAGCTCAAACTCAGGAGCTTTTAGATTCTTGTTCTTATCAGAAAATGTCCAACTCCTCTGCCACACCCCAAATGTCCACAAATTTCTCTTGGATAGTTTGGGGAAAGATGGCACTTCAGGTGCCCTTAGATTCTGGTTCTCACCATGCATGACTAGTTCATCTTCCCCCAAATGTCCACCCATTACCCCTAAAATGGCACTTTAACCATGACCTGAAAATCCTAAACAAAGTAGGGGGCAAGGAGAAACTGGTGGGAGAAGACAAGTGGGAGAAATAGGTTTGGCTTAGAGCTGAAAGTGGTATTTTAAGGCTAGAAACCAGCCAACTTAAAAGAGCAGAAATCCTAGATTACTTTGATCTAGAATTTAGAAAGAACCACTTCGTGAAAAGTATAACAATCAGACTGTCTTACTAAAGGCCTTGTAGTTCAAAATCACTCACAACACCCCCACCAAGTGGTCGCCCTAACTCACATTCTTGTATTTTCCATCCCTCTGTATTGCTTTTACCACTTTGAAGCTCTCCAGAAAGCCATGAGACACATCATCATGCTTGAAGTAGATATGGTCTTCCTTGAATCCACTATTCTTCAAGGCAGTTATCCTCAGTTCATGCAGCAATTCTTCATGTTCTCCTTTGAGTTACTCATCCATCCTGGTAACTGTCTTTGGAAGCAGCTCCAGTTTGCTTGAATGTGCAACAATTGGAGCTCATTCCAATTACCATCTTTTCTGGGACAAAATGGAGTGACCAAGCCATCTATTTTATTGGGAAGGGTAACCTTTTTAGGTCCTATTTATTGAGCACAAATGCTTGAAACTTAGACAAAGTAAGGCATTTTAACTTCACAACAATACTCAGAAGAAAGTAAGGATCAAAGAGTTTAAGGACCAAAGTAGCAGAACTGGGATTGACCCAATTTTTTGATGCTAAATCCAACGTTCTTTCTACCAGTTAAAAAAGACCTATTTCTTACAATGCTGCCTGGCATTTAATGGACTGGTTTTAACAGCTACATTCATATGCTCTTATTCTTATAACAAAATTTCATGTTTTTTAATTTAATTTAATTTAATTTTTGAGGCAGGGTCTTGCAGTGCAGGCTGGCCTTGAACCCACTACAGAGCCCAGGCTGGCTTTGAACTCATGGTGATCCTCCCACCTCAGCCTCCAGAGTGCTGGGATTATGTGCATGCACAATCACACCAGGTATGCATTTTATTGTTGTGCAGTAAAGATATTTTTAGACCAAAATTCAGAACTTCATATTATTCCATTTAAATTAATCTCATTAGGTTTGGTTTATTATTTTATTCTGTTTTAGTATTTTGAGTTGTGATTCTGTACTCTAATACACTTAGATATTATCCATATATTAGGTACTGGGCAAAGGGTAAAGTGATGTAGAACATCTGGAGAGCTCCTTCAGCTTGATATTAGTCCATTAATTAGCACCTTTTGGCGTATGTTGTTTCAGCCAGTTATGAATCATGTTAATTGTGCAGTCATCCAGCCTATATTTTTCTTCTTGACCATGGAATATTACGAAAGACCTTGCTAAATGCCTTACTGAAGATCCAAGGTAATGGCAAGTTTTTTCCTATAGATTCAAGTAAGACAGTTTTGTCATATATTACTGAGAAACCACTGTGACATGATAGAAAACAGTAGAAATATCAGTATAATATTCTGAATTAATATTGAGGAATGATTTTGTATTGCAAACATTTGGTAGAAAGAAGATAAAAAGGGTGATGCTAGGAATATTAGTAGTAAATTTTCTGGCTTTAAACCTATTTTTAGGTTCGAGATTGACTGAATATGTTGCCCTTGATTCTGTCACGATTTTGCCCCCACACCACCACCACAGGCTTAAATCCAGAAGGAGAAGAGTCCAGGGACAGTTGATAATACTAAATAATACCTTTAGATATTTTGGTAAGGAAGGAAACTGATCAAAAGGAAAGACCAACTGGGACAGGGAAAAATAGGAAAGAAAGAAGGAAAACTATATATACATGTGTACACAAGATAGTTAAGATAATTGTACTAATAATTTTATTAATTCATGGAAAGAAACTGAGTGCTTATACTGTTTTGATCTGTTTTGCATGCCTGTATCATGTAATCTGAGCAACTATTTTGAAGATAGTAATATACAATATAATGACCATTGTTAATTTCCTATCATCTTATTTGAAATCCTGTATTGTTTTCATTGTTTGTGTTTTAATATTTTTAAAATTAAAAAAATTTAAAAAATACTTTTGTAATGTTCTCAACATTTCTACTT